AAAAATAGTGGGCTGATTAAAGACAGGAAGTTGGTTTCCTGATAAATATTATTCTGTGTATCAGTCTTTTACTTTTGGCAGCCGCTTCAGTGTGGAGAGTGCTTCCTGCACGGTCCGTCTCCTGCCTCACGCAAAGCTGCCTCACGCTGGACCCTGAACCTTGGAAGGAAACCCAGGAAGAAAGCTCTTCGAGCTCCGGCGATGCTGGTGGGCTTGCAGCCTGGAATGTCTCTCCTGCTGCACTTAGGGGCCCAGATGAGCAGCGGATTCCCGGGGAGGCAGTGTGTTGTCTCCAATTTTTTTCTTTGAGGGTTTGGTTAGTTTTCTTCTGGATTCACTGCTAGTTCCTCTGTTCAACACATGCTTAACAAATGTAGTTAGTTCTGCTTAGTAACAATCTGAAAGGGACTTGTTTAAATGATATTAGAGAAAAATATATGAGATTAATTCATAATTCAATGTACACTGTTTTGATGCTTAACAGATTTTAATTTTAAACTTGTGTGAGTGGGTTGGTGTGTGGGCATGTGAGTTTGTGTACACACGTGTGTTTCTCAGGAGTGAACCCAGGGCCTTTGCACTGAGGTACCTCTCCAGCCCTTTCTAAATTCAAACAAGAAAAATTTTTGTGAATCAGGGAATTGCTAAGTGGTCTGGGCTGGACTGGAACTTGTGGTTCTCCTGTCGCAGGCACAGGCCACCTCACTCAGCTTAACTCCAGCCACTCATGAAATGTAAAGGATAAAAGGGAGAGAACTGACTCCAGCAACAAAAATGGGTGTTCAAGGCAACGCATGTAAGTACAGGCATCTCAGGCCACTCTGTGCGGTTGATCTGCGGCATCCAGGGCCGTCGCCTGTGTTTGCACAAGGACAGACGCATGTGCAGTGCCCATAACAGCGTTCTTCTCCACTGCCGAGGTACGACTGTGCATGAGCTGATTAGAGTGTGAAAAGTAAGAAAGCTGAGGCCCATTCTCAGCTCGCTCCCTTCAGCCCGGCTTCAGCTCGCTCCCTTCAGCCCGTCTGCTCAGCAGTGGCCAGCGAGCTACCCATTTCTCTTCGTAACAGGGGCTCTGCTGACTCCCACTGGCTGTGGTCCGCAGTGGGCCTCACCACCCCGTGATGGGCTTTGCCTGAAAGAGCTCAATTTGAAAAAAGAGGACTCATCAGACTCGAGCTGGGGAAAAGGCCATTGAGAAAATAAAGTAATATAACAAGAGTTGCTCCATTCTGGGCTACAGGTCACCTCTATGTCCTCCTGTGACTTTTGTGTAGCAGTCAGTTTTCTTGTAACCCCCCAAAACAGGCAGCACCAGTGTTTCCTGAAATTTAGGACTAAAGACACACTGGTAGTGGTCTGAACAGTTTGATTTCAGTTAAGGGGGTAGTGAAGGCACAGTCTTGGAAAGTTTTGAGAGATAGCTCTGCAAAAAAGAATCACAGTAAGCCAGAAGGCAGGTGTCAGCCCTGTCCCTCCTATGCCAGTTCTTCATTCAGAGTCCCTGGCGCGGATGGCACTACCCCCAGATCCATTCCCCGGTGCACCCACCACACCTATACTTTTCTAGGAGTTCTTTAGGGATCTCCAATGGAGAGAAACTAATATGCTTACAGGTAAACAAACTATTAAAAAACTAAGAATGAGCCAAGTACATTGGCAGGAGCCGTAGCTCTGTGGGAGGCTGAAGCAGGAGGGCTGCAAGCTGTAAACCAACTCAGGCAATTCAACGAGACCCTGCCTCAGGAGCAAAACTGGCTGGGGATGGAGCTGCTTGTGATGGCCCAGGGTTCAATCCAATCCCTAGTAATCCCCTCAAGGATAATATGTATTTGAAAATCCAACTGTTGATTTATTTTGAAAGTCAAAATAAATAAGGTACAATGTATAAATCTGAAACAATATTAAGATATCTTTAGGAAAAGCATGTTCAAAAGGGCAAAGGTCAGCAAACCAAGTAAGTCACGATGCTTTCAACAGGGAGAATATTTTTTTTTTTTTGCTGGTTTGCTTAACTCTTAGAAGATTGACCACAAGGGTCTGTTGCTTTTGGAAGAGCTGGTCCCCTCCTTGGGGCTTATTTCAGCCCCTGTGCAGGTGTATTTTTGTCATAATTCAGTCCACCTGCGTCTGTCAGTTGCTTTCCCCTTGTCGCCTCCTGTGACATTCTGGCTCATGTTTCTTCATCAGCTCTAAGCCAGTTATTAATAACAGCCCAGTGGCTTCGTGGTCCACAGGAGCATACGGTGTTTTTCATAAGACGGAGCTCACTCCTTTGACTTTGGACTTCACGTACAGAAGCCTCAAAGTAAGTGCTGCTTTAAAAAACAAAACTGTAGCATTTTAAAATGTTGGTGTAGGAGGAAAGTTTGATATACCTCGTTTGCTTTTGATAGTAGAATATTGTCGGGTAAAACTTACTAGAATTCCAAAGCCTCTAATTTCTACATTTCAACATCTCCCCAACTTATGTAAAGCTAAATTATAAGAGATCAATGAATTAGAATCTTACTCTTTTTATTTCCTTTATGCCACATGGAGGGAGGAGGCGAAGCGAGGGATTAATAACACTGCATATACATGACCTGACCAAGCCTTGAGGAGTTCTTCAGGGACTCAGAGTGCAGGTTCACATACGCAGAGTTCTGCAGGGGGAGGCGGATGGCAGGCTGCGTGCTTGTTATGTTCCGTGTTTCAGGTTGCTGTCAGAGAGGGTTCGGTCTCACTGCGCAGCTCCGTGGCGTCCCTGCTGTTTATCCAGACGCTTTGTCCTGCAGGCTTCTTTGTGATGACTGTTTCTGCGAGCCCTGTGAAGTGAGTCACTGCATTTTCTGGAAAGGAGGACCCTGAAGAGTAGAAGGGCAGATGCTGTTTGGTGTTCGTAAGCAGAGCTGAAACACGACAACACAATACTCCAGGGCATGCTTTGTTGCCTGGAAAGTCAGTCCTAGCTGGAAAGCAGCCTTGAAAACTAGAGATCAAAACCCGAGCCGCTACCCTTGCCCTGCCATGAAGCGGGGGCGGCGTGGCGTGGGCGGGCTGGTTGGGGCGGGCAGTGCTGATCTGCAGTTTCCAAGGCTGGTTATTTTCTCATTAGGTCTTGTTTTCAGGGACGTGCGATGAACGTGGCTTTCAGTTTAATTCCTGAATGTGTGCATCGGCGTGTAGATTGCTTGCCTAAGGCAGGCATTGATTGCAGGGAATTAGAAAGCGGCCGATGTGGCCTGGGTGGAGCCCTGTTTGTCCTGCGTATAAATTGTGTGACTTCAAGCCATGCCCACCCACGCTCAGCTTCAGTTTCTTTCTTTTTTTTATTTGTGTGTGTGTGTGTGTGTGTGTGTGTGTGTGTGTGTGTGTGGCCAGTTCAGCCCACCAGGGGGCGAGGCTGGCTGGCATGTGGTGCTGGGGGATTGAACCGTGGTTTCTGTGCTTTAGCTTAGCTTGTTCTAGGTAGGTGCTTTAGACCACTGAGCCATCTCACCAGCCCTCAGCTTCAGTTTCTTCATTTGTGAAATGAGATTCTTCACGTGTTTATAGGCTGTGGGTTTACTCCTAGTGTATGTAAGTGGCCACCGATTATTACAGCTAGTTTTACATTACTGCTATCATCCTCATTCAAATTTTCTCAAATCTTCCTAATCGTCTCTCTCATTTGTTTCAAGTTCAAACCCAGAGCCTCCAGTTGTGATCTTTGATGGTCAGCATTACTCCGAAATATACAGACATTCAGATTTGCTGCTGTTAGTTACTGTCTTCATTTTAGGACGGGGCCAGCGATACAAACACTAGGTGGTGGGCCAGAAGAGAGTGTGCTGTTAGCAACTCAGGACATGAAGGCTGGAACTAAGGTCAGTGAGGACAAAGTACCCAATGTACTTTGTACCCAGTGTGTGCCTGTGACTCCAGACAGCGAATTCCTTTCTTGTTATGGTAGACTATCTTCTATGTACCCAGGTAGGGCAGGAAGGAGTGTGGCTCTGTAGTTAGGAGATAGGATGAGATGGTGTTTTTCTCCATGAGCTTTCACTCTAAAAAGATGTACTGAATTTCTATGAGGTGCAGAATACAGTACTAGACCAGGGAGGGGCCCATAAGCTTTTATTACAGCAGGAAGAAGTCGTTTATGAAGAACTCTGGTAAGAATCAACATGGGCTTGCCCATGATTTGGTGAGTTTTGGGACTCCTCCTTGGGCATCCCCTTTTAGTACTGACTTTGTGAGGTAGAAGAACATGTCCCAAAGCTCCACCTCATGTCATTCCCTCCTCCAAATCTCGAGCACCTGCCTTGTTGCGAAACCTATGCTAAATGCTTGAAGTTATTTCTTCTCTAAAAGAGGTATTGTCTTTCATCTAAACTTGGAATTATGTTCTCCAACTTAGCTAGCTACTCTCGCAACTGAACTTGACCGCAAAGCATAACCCCCCCCCCCCCGTTTCAGAAATCACAGGATCACCTCAAAAGCATTTTAATGACAGTAGCAAATTTTTTCAGGTGAGCTTTGGTTGCAGGGCAGGTAGACAGTTTCCAAGGTTTTGCCAGATACCTTTGAGAATGCAACAAGCCTGGAGAGCCACCACTCTTCCATTCCTCCACCTCAATCTGAGAATGGCATTTGTTTGGCTAGCTAAGTTCTGTGGGTACAAAACCCCGCAAAGCTAACAAGAAGCCCACCTCCTCCCCACCCTGCATCATCAGACCACTTGAAGGGCAAGCTTGGTGGCACAGTGTTCGGTGTTCCAAGGTAGTGTTGGCCTTAAGTGCAGTCACTAAGTCAGCTTCCAGCTCCTGGCATTTCAGCTGTTCTTGGAGGAATTTACTACAGTATGGCTTGCTGTGGGGGAGAAGGGCACTGTGAAACTTTGCAGGGGGACATTTGATCATGTCTTGATATTTGGGTATCTAGAATATTTCTTAAAATAACAGTAATTTATGCATTTTAGGAGCAAAGCTCAGTCTATTGGGGTCCATTTGCAGCCTTCAGGAGTCCTGCTGGTAGACAATGTAGAAAATGCTAGTGTTCCTGTGTAGAAAAAGAACTCATTTTTGGTCAGGGTATGGACTGAGAACATTTGAAACACAGCCATTGGTGGTTTGGAAAAGCCAAAATTGGACAAGAATTTACCCCCAAAGAAGGATAAGCAATCCAGCCAAAAGGATGAGGTACAGGGCTATCGGCCAAGTAGGAGCGCGGCTGTTGCACTGGAGCCTGCTGGTGATCAGGAAGGCTCCCTGTTCTGCTGCTTCATGTCTGAGCAGCCACCTCACCCTGCCGAGCTTCTGTCCAAGCCTGCTGCTCTGTCTGTTTGCTCTCTGTGGAGAGGCAGGCAGCTTACGGGGCCCTGGGCTCCCCTTCCTACTGATTCCGTGGTGCTGCAAAGGCCAAGGCTCTGCAGCCGAGCAGATTCCACCCGTATCCACAGTCAGCTCCCGCTAAGTGTGTGACCCCAGGCAGACGACTTAACCTCTTTGGATTTGGCTCTCTCTGGCTAAAAGAAAACAGTGGTTTTAATGTTTCACCTCATGAAGTTTTATGAGAGTAAACTCAAAGTGTATGCATGTGTGGAGGTGCTGAGCTGTGAGGAATTAAATCCTTTCCAACCCTTGTAAGGATGTTGTTATCTCTGCTCTTCAAATGAAGTAACTTTTGGATGAAGTACCTTGTTTGAGGCTACAGAGCCAGAGCCAGGATCTCAAACCAGTTCCATCCGGCTCCACGTCTTGCATGCTCTCCTCATTGTACTTGCTGACTGACCATCTGTGACAAAACACTTTTTTCAGTCAAAGTTTACTTGCTCAAGTTCTGGGTCTTGTGACCTCTCCCCGCCCAAATTTCTGCTTGTCACTTGTGATTTACTTTGTTATTGACTTTCTGGTCATACGTTGGCCTGATTCAAATGTTGGGAAGTGCTGAAGGTAGGGTCTTTCCAAACAGCTAAGTCTGGGGAAGCAGAGTCCAGTTTGTCATCAATGTGAGGAAAGTGCTAAGACAATCCAGAAGTGAGGGCTCGCACAGGATGCCTGTGTGATCTCAGACAGACCTCTGTGTTCCTGTCAAATGAGAAGCTTATGAAAGATCATATATCATTGATGGTGCCAACGTTCTTAAATACTTCAAGCCTTTGACTACTATCTGTTTTCTTAGCTGGAAAGAAGAAAAGCACCCTGTGTTCAAGTCTTAGTCAAGAAACAAGGTACAGCAAGCTTCAGGGCCACAATGAGGAAAAGCTATCTTCTTGCGTGAGCTTTCTTTCCTACAAGCTCACATCACTGATAAGCAAATTCTCTTCTTTCAGCTTTGGGTGGAATGTAGTGGGACCTTACTTAGTTCAGCAAATGCAACTTGAACTCAGATATCAGAACTGTGCAGCACCATATAGATCCATTTAGCGTTGGATGTGCTCATCTGTCCCTCTAGCCCCTTAATCACCCAAATTGGAGGAGATTAAGGTGGGCAAATGTCTCTTAGGCCCCAGAAATAGTAAGTGTCCCCACAAGTTACTTGTCACTTGTCCTAAAGCCGTATAGGTCCTGTGCCATGATTTATGTGGCCGCCCAAATGCTTGCCGATTCCCTAATTACAAAAAGAAACCAAGGCAAAACTTGGATGTAATTTTCATATGCTTTCTCTAGTTTTGAGAAGTCGATTCTATTGAACATATCTTTATAAGGAAAAGGGGGCCTGTTCTAAGGTGAGACAAGTGGAAAACACTCAACTTTGCAGTTTTAGGTTTAAAATTATTTTCTGGGAAAAGAAATCTTTGTATATAGTCTCTTCCTTCTTCAAGGGTGATTTGAACAACGTGGACATTCAGTCTTCCAAGAAAGCACTTACCTTAAGTACAGCTATTAAGTCAATAATTGCTGATAACAAATTAGTGACCTGGACCGTGAAGCCCTGGGATCCAGAATGGTTTAGGCCACCTTCCCCGTGGAGGAAGACAGCAGCTCCCCGGGCCGGTGGATGTGAACAGCTGTGATCTAGTGTACTGCCTTGCAGCAGGTCACTGGTAAGTGCAAAGTAAATTCTTCATGAGGCCTGAAGGGACCAAGGAGGAGGTGCACCGAGCCTCAAAAGATGGGCAGGAATTTGACCCTTATGTATGTCTGAGTGCTTCAGAAGCCTGAGACTGGTTTATGGAAAAGGTACAGTCCAGTAGGTAACATGCTGGGCTGCAATCAGTAATGGTTATTGCTTATTATTTATTTCCTAGGTATAAGTATTACTTTATTCTCACACTATACTGTGAAGTAGGATTTATTATCATCCCCACCTGGTTCACAGAAGTATTAGCTGTGGCACAGAGAG